ATCATTTATATTCATTTATATAACAAATACTAAAACAAATACACTAGGGTGTGTTTGTTTGGGGGTTTGGATTTTAAGTTGGGATTTGAATAATAAAAATTTTGAATTTGAATAGTTGTATGATGTGATATAAATAGGTGTTGATGCGATGTTTTGAATGTAAAATTGATTTTTTGTATAATATAAAAAAAGTAAAAAATAGGTATTTGATTTAATGTTTTTTAGAGGGAAAAATTGGATGAATAGTGTAAATCCAATCCAATCCAATCCCCCAAACAAACACACCCTAATTTTATTTATTTTTACTATATACTAACAATTATTATTATCATTATTATAGAGTTTTTTGTTTAAATTTTTTTTTTTAAAAAAAAACCAATATAATAATTTCAATTTTTTTTTATTTTTTACTATATATTAACAATTATTATTATTATTTGTAACAAAACATTACATTCTATATATTATTTTAAAAAAATAAATAAATAAAATCAAATTACAAAAAGAAGACAACGACGAATCCTTGAGGATGATCCTACCCTAATAAATGTATATAATCCAACCACTTTAATATTGAATTTAATTTCATTATCTCTGTTGTTTTTTTTTTTTTTTTTTCCTATTTTTTTTTTTTTTTTGAAATCCACAAACAAATAATTAATGACAATTCGCAGTTATCAAATCAGTACCCATGTCTCGTCACTATTGATATTTCGGTTAAAATCACATGCTGAATTAAAAAATTCATAATGCTGAATAAGGCTCGATTTGTTCAGATACAATAATCTTGTTTATCATTTTTATCTGTCCTAAAAATAATATTTTTATTTTCATAAATAATCATATGATTATAAAAGTATCCTTATTTTTTTCATTATTATTACACAATTGTCATTATTTTTACGCTAATACACTCACAAGGGCAAAAATGTCTTTTATCCGTACTTTTTACCAATTTCCAATATAATATCAATATTCCTTAAATCTCGTGTCAAACACAACCCAGACTATAATTCTGGGAATATTTATTATACTTCTTTTCGTCCCATAACTAAGTATCCGTTTGCTTTTTTGCACGTAGTTTTAGAAATATTAGTATTATATTGGGATGTAGTAGAAATAAAGTAAAAATAACTAAAATAACTTTATTAGTATTGTGTGATATAAACGTAATGACATTTGTGTAATATATGATAAATTGTAAAGGTATTTGTAATGTTTGGTAGATAGTACGGTTATTAAAAAATGAAATTGATACTTTGTTATGAGACGGATTAAAATAGAAAAATGAATAGTTTGTTACGAGACAGAGAGAATATGAAATATAAAAATAATGAATATGTATAATATACTGTCGAATGTAGAATGATTGACTCACCTAAAAGTTAAACTGTTAGAAAAATAAAGATTAATTATTTATTTGCAAACGGAAGTTCTAACATGTATTAAACTTTTTTGTTGAAAAAATATGTTTTTTTAAAATTGTGAAAGAACACACAATATTTTATTGAGTGTAATTATATAAATTGATATAATTTTTTTAAAACATTCAACACTTATGTTTAATTTTTTTTAGCATATAATCCATAGTCTTATTATTATTATTATTATTATTATTATTATTATTTAGTGGTTAAATGTATGACTTATTGGCTCTGCTAAGTTCTAGGTGACGATTTCCTATCAATATTATTATATAAAAAATATAAATTTATTATATATTAACACAATATAATATTTATTTATTAATTTATTTATAAACAGTTAATTATTAATATAAAATATTATTTTTTATATTACTAATATAAATTTTTAGATTTAATATAAAAAAACATATATATTAAAAGAAAAAAAAAAAAAACCACAAAGCAAACAAACCCATTGAGTATAATTAATATTCCATCTGTCCCAAAAGTAATTATCTATTTGTTTTTTCACATATTTTTAAAAATATTAAGATATAGTAGGAATAAAGTAGAAATGACTAAAATAACCTTATTAGTATATGTGATATAAAGGTAATGATATTTGTATAATATATTATAAGTTGTAAGGATATTTGTAATGTTAGGTATATAATACAGTTATTAAAAAAAGAAATGGATACTTTGTTATGGGACGAACTAAGATGGAAAAAATGGATATTTTGTTATTGGACGGAGGGATATAATTAAGAATATATTAGTAAAAATAATTATCATATAATATAAATTAAAATTAAAATAATTAATTAGTTTAATTAAAATTTTAAAATTTAAATTAAAAAATTAAAATGAGATTAAGTGTAATTATTATTATTATTTTTTTAAATAACATGAGATAATGGAATCCACAAAAAATAATATATTTTATTATTTTTATTTTAAAATATAGTACTTCCTCCGTCCAATTGAAAAGTTGTCATTTTTCATTTTCGTCCGTCTTAAAACAAGGTTACTATAACCTAATTTAGTAATCGTACTACCTATCTATCATAATAAATACCCTTCAAACTTACAATATATTACACAAATGTTATTACTTTTATATTACACAATACTAATAAGGGTATTTTCGTTTTTTTTTTTTTCACTCCAACCAATTATAATATTAATATTAAAAAATTTCTGTGCAAAAGATAGACGGCAATGTTGCACCGGGACAGAGAGAGTATTAATTTATAATACTCCCTCCGTCCCAATACAATAGTCTTGTCTATCAATTTTTGTCCGTCCCAAAATAATAGTTTCATTTCCATAAATAATCATATCACTATAAAATTACCGTTACTTTTTCATTATTATTACACAATTGCCATTACTTTTTACACTAATACACTTATAATGGCAAAAAATTCTTTTACCCGTATTTTTTACATACTATTAATATAATATCAATATTCCTTAAATCTCGTAGCAAACTTAATTCAGACTATATTTTTGGGACCAACGGAGTATAATCTTAGATACGACAAGAAACACAATTGTGCTGACGTTCCATTAAGCCAATAGTCAATTTCAACATAAATAAATCAAATTTGCATAATTTTTTATTTTATTTTATTATTATTATTATCTTTTAATACACTCCATCAAATCAAATTGTCCAATGGGCCAGCTTAGATTCCCTTGACTCAAGATTTGATGTAGTTTTATTATTATTTTATATATATATATAAAAAAATATATAAAAGATTTGATGTAGTTATTACGGTGCGGTTTTATTATTATTTTTTTTTATAAAAAAAAAAAATAAATTTGATGTAGTTATTACGGTGCGGTGTCAATTTGTGATAGCGAGATAATGTGTTGAAACTTTTCAGTCGCTTTTGAATTTTATTTGTCACATATATATATAGTTCGTGTAATTTATTTTGTCGAATTTAATTTATTAGTTACTAGATTTAATTAAAAATTTACTTAAAATACATTCGAAAAATAGTAACTGTAAATTTTTATCACGTAAAAAAGAAAAATTTGATATAGCTCGAGTCTTATAGATTTGGCTATATAATTTTGTATAAAAAAGTACTCTCTTCGTCTCAAATACCGTGACTGCTACACTGTAGACACTGTATTTTAAAAGGGTGTAATTAGTAGATAATTAAGAATGTATTAGTAAAAATAATTATCCTATAATATAAATAATTATAAATTAAGATTAAGATAATTAATTAGTTTAATTAAAATTAGAAAAAAATAAAATTTAAAAATTTAAAATGAGATTAAAATGTGTAATCATTTTCCAAAAAATGAAAGTGACATGGTATGTGGGACGGATAGAAACGGCAACGTGGACATCGTATCTGGGACTGAGGGAATATAATATAATATAAAAAAAAAACCGATTATTTTTAGAAAATTGATCACTAGAAAAGAAGTAAAAACTAGCAAAATATATTGCATTAGCGGTGAATGCAAAAATATTTACTTCTATAATCTCATTTATTTTTATTTTTTATTTTTACTTTACAATAATTCGGGATTTAATCCTTTAGAGACGATAAATCTTTTGTCTGTAAATTCAATGAATGAATTACTTATCAATTTCGGATCAATATCATGTAGAAGACAATATTTGATCTATCAAATCAATTTTGTGGTCGAAATTTGATTACTATAACATAGAAGTTGAAATTGGGTTCAAGACCAAGCCTAGGCCCAAGTGAATTATATTGGGCCTAGTCTTGGGCCAAGTTAAATTGGGTTAGGGACATTTTGATTCTTAGTACATTGATTTATTATATAATTCTTCCGTCTACTAATAAATTTTTTATTTCATTTTTGTAAGTAGATAAAGGTAAATTAGTAATTTACAAATATGTAGTTTAATAAGTTAATATAATACTCTAAAAAAACTAAAATAACATTATTAGTATTTTATGATATAAATGCAATGTTATTTATGTATAATATATTATAAATTGTAAGAATATTTTTAATGTTGATAAAAAATGCAAAAATAGGTGTAATATAGTGTACGTCGGAGGAATTTCACCCAACACATGCACATCCACCATTCAACTCTCGAGCGAGGAATATCTCAGAATTACAAGAGTTTAATATAAAATTAATTCGTTAAATATATTTAAATTTAATAAATTTTATATATATGTATATATATATAAGATATTATATTTAAAACTAAATTAAAAATAAAATAATAGATCAGCGATCAAACAAACTTTCGAACTTCCAACCACAAATCAACGTAACAATCATACACACACTATCACTCGAAGCTACCCGGAGCACACTACTTAATTACCCACAAAGTCCAGGACCTGCGCACCAGCGCATAATCCAAACCCCACAGTCGCTAAACATTACCCTGCTGGCCCCGATATCCCGTGACCTCCGATCCACCGACTACCTCACTATCCAAATCTGACTCACACGGATAAGAACCCCCCACCCCACCCCCCTCGTTTTGGATAAGGACCTACGACGCACGTCAGCTCGACGCCACATACACGCGTCTGCATTCCCCTCCATCCGCCATTACAGGATTCCTCCTTTTTTATCTTCTTCCCAGCATCCATCCATTATTACATTCAGAAAAATTGACTGTTTCAATTCCATCAATTATTAAAACGTCCTCTGCTTTTCGAAACAACTGCCCTGCCCTAATTATTTCCATCTCAATTTTTGTCCGAAAAAAGAAAAGAAAAAGATACGAGCAGCTCTGGTTTCGATTATTCGCGATTTCGAGGTTTCGGTGAAACTTTTTTTTTTGGGGGAAAATGGCTGCTTCAGTTATGGGGTCAATTTCGTGGGCTCAAATTAGGGATTCGAAATTGAGGAATGGGAATTGCAAGAAAGTGGGATTTAGGGTTTCGTGTCTGTCGTCTTCTTCCATAATCAGCGATTCTTACAGGACTTTGAAGATCAATCCTGGTGCATCCGAATCCGAGGTTAAAAAGGCATTTAGGCAGCTTGCTCTTAAGGTAATCGAATGTTTTTTTTTGGAATTTCTTTCAGATCTTAGGGTTAGCTTTGATTCTCGATTGCAACCTTAGTTTGAACCAAAAATAAAATAAATAAATTAAAAAATGAAAAATCTGTTGATTGATTTCTGCAGTATCATCCAGATGTGTGCAGAGGAAGCAATTGTAGAGTTCAGTTTCACCAAATTAATGAAGCATATGATGTAAGGAATCTCTTCCCTTGATGTGTTTGTTTGTGTTTTTGGAATGTTCTTTTAGGATGTTTTGAATTTGAAAATTTTCGATTGAAATGTTAGTAATTTTGTTAATTATCTTTCTTGAAATGTGTTTTAAGTTAAAAGATGAAGCTGAGTTTGTTTGGTAAAAACATCATTTTTTGTGTGTTTTTGTTGATTTTTATTTTGTGTATATAATATTTCCTCTATTTACCCATGTTTACCTTTACTTTTGGCAGTGTAATGATATTTTTTTCTTTAATTTTTTTTTTAATTATTATTATTATTTTTTTTTTTTGTGAAAGTAACGATGTGACGTAAAGTATATTTGTGGAAAAAAAAGTATATTTGTGGAAAAAAAAGTATGGTATTTAATGAAATGTAAATTTTGTAATTGGACGTCCCAAAATAGAAATATGTATACTTTTTAGCCGGACCGATGGAGTATTATAGTATTTTTGTTTAGGTAATATTTTGGGGGAATCGGATATGGTGAACACCAAACAAACACATTTTACTATCCAATCTTCAAAAACATATGTTCTTTTACAAATTGTTATACCCTATCCATTATTTAACTTAAAAATTAATCAAAACTAAAAAAATCCTCAAGTAAAGACACCCGAGGATTTGTCCGAATTCGGTCATTTTAAATTTATTTTGTAGCATAACTAAGTGGCCTTATATCGATTCAATTTGTCCCGTGGGATCTAAATTCGAGTTTGGACCAGTTTAGGCTATGAGTCATTTTCACTTAAAGTGAGTCGAGCCTCTTTCATTTGGAATTTAGCAATGCCAGCACGAAAAGGACTTTGTTTTTGTTCTTTATTTGTAATTTTAGTGAAAGATCGATTTTTCGTTTGTTGAATGTTTAATGGAAGAATAGAAGGGCATTTTGTAATAAATTTGTTTTGCCTTTAATTGTGTGTTGTATGCATTTGTATTGGCAACAAAATCTTTCGATGATGCACACATAGCAAGAAAAAGACAACCTTAGTTGATCACAAAACCGTAAAATGAAATTAACTAATTAGTCGCTTTTGGACGATTAAAGTTGTATAAATGTAGGGAGTGTATCGTGTCGTTGAGTTTGGTTCAAAAATGTGCCGTTGAATTGTATGAAAATTTTGTCGATCATTATTAAGACATTGTCGAATCACATCGGAAATATGTTTGAATAGTCTAAAATTTTTGCTCGATGGTTTTAATCTATCACACAGTATGGGCTGTGGATCCTGTGCTGATCCGACCAAGTCAGGGGTCAACATATATTTACACACATGATAACATATGATGAGTTATAATATAACATATACTGTCTTATAAATATGTTTTAGATATATATAAATATATGTTAGATTACTTATGTAACATATACTGATCTCGTCAAATTAGCACCACGTTGATTTGACCATATCAGAAGCTGATCCATGCACTTGTGTAAATCTATATACAATATGTTTGAATTTTGGGTCTCAGTTTCGAATAACGAAAATTTTGAATTTGAATAATTGTTTTATGCTATAAAAATAACGGTTGATCCGATGTTTTGAATTAAATTATAATATAAGAAATATAAAAATGGTTTTCGCGAATTTTGTAGGTTGTGATGAGTAATCTAAGAGAGGAGCCACAAATGGAGATCTACGAGCAATCCGATAATGTGGAATCCGACGAGGCGGTGAGGGGAATGTACGGCGAGGATTGGGAGTTGTGGGAAGAGTGGATGGGGTGGGAAGGAGCCGGTATTCGCGACTACTCGTCCCACATCAATCCTTACATATAATCTCGACCAATTGTCGATATATATGTATACATATAGCACTTGTATGTATATGTATATGTATATGTATATGTATATGTATATATGCTTGTATAAAGTTTGTATAGATTGAGGTTGTCCGGCATGTCGAAGAAGACGTGGTATCGATAGCCCTTGTGATAATAAAATGTAAGTATGTGAGCATCTAGCTCTTTCCATCCTAATTAAATAGTGATGAATGTTGGGTATTTTTGTCCTATTATTATTATTATTTATTATTTTAAAAAATACTATTCTCAATATATAGGAAGTATTTTCTAGCAATAAATTGTCTATTTACATATAGAGAGTTGATCATTAATAATAAAAATATAAAATAATTATACCCAACATTTTAAAAATATAGCAATATATTTAATGTTTGTTTGATTGTAGTTTGAAATTTAATTTGAATTTTTTATTTAGATAGTATTTTGATGTGATATTTTATAAAATAATTTTGTATTTTTAACAGAAATTGTGCGAATTGAATAATAGTAATTTTGGTTGGACATTGTAATTAAACAATATGTTTGTTTTGTAAAATAGTTTAAAGGAATATTTTTTTTATGTGATATAAAAAAAATTATATAAGTAATATAAAAAATAATAAATATGTATAATATATTAATTTTTTTAAAAATATGCAAAGAGCACACCTTATATATTCAAGAAATTTGTGATGAGATTTGATGTTTGAAAACTTATATATTAATTTATTATTATTATTTTTACAAATATTCAAATATTCAAATCTCAATTCAAAATACAAATTTTCAGACAAACACATCATAAGTAAATAATTATACCATAAATTAACATAAATATAAATAAAATTTATGAAAAAAGATTATATATTTTATAATAATATAATTCGGATAAAATATAATAACAAATTAAATTATTGTTTAATATAAAAAAAGAAATATATTATAAGAAACTAAATATGAAAATACTAAGTATTTATTTTTTTAATAATAAAAATAATTATAATATAATAAAAATAATTATAGATTATATATATATTTTTTAAAAAAGAAAAAGATGTGGGACTGACTTAAATATAAAGAGTGAAAAAATTATATGAGACGAAGATATAAATATATAATAATTTTTTTTATGACATAAAAATCCGTAACTGCTATGCAAAAATGCGATAAATTCCCGATCGAACCTAATAAGAAATTTAAATATATAAGAGTTTGTTTTTTACTCTTTTAAATTCACATCAAACACTATTAATTCAACATAATTTTTAATAAAAATAAATTATTTTTTCTGAAAAAATATCATATCAAAATATAATTTAAACAAAAATATAAACAAAATATTTTATTTTAAATCAATTTCAAACAATAATCAAATAAAATTATAAATATATTAGCAACAACAGCAATAAAATAATAATAATTAAAGGACATTGAAATCAAATATAAACTCTGCATTTCTCTTGTATATTCAACTTTTTTCACATCACTTCTATTTTTTTTTTTCTTTTCGTTCTTTCTTTCTTTCTTTCTTTTTCTTTTTTTTTTTCTTTGATGTTCTTGCTACACTTCTATTTTTTTCTCTCTCGTTCTTTTAATTTTTTGTTCGCTGTTCTTGCTAAACCTCTATTTTTCTTCCTTTGGTCTCTTTTTTTTTCTTCCTTCGTTCTACACCTCTATTTTTCTCCCTTTCGTCCCTTTTTTTTTTTTTTTCTTTCGTTGTTGTTCTTGCTACACCAAAATGTTGGTGGTGAAACATGACGGAAGTAATTTTCATTCAATCTTTGAAAGATTTCTGCGAAATTAAAGAAGTTAAGCTTATGGATTGGTGCTAGACACGGGAACTACTTTGATTTTATTGAGCTTGAATAGGGGGTATACAATGGAATCGACACAAGTGAGCTCGACAACTTCGTTGCAGTCCACCACTCGTACTATTCTATTGTGAGTCTAAGTGTATGTATATGTGTGCATTTTGAATTTTTCGTTGTGAGCCGAGCAATTGCACAACCATCGGTACTAATTCGCCCACGAACATTTTTTATTTTCAATTAATTTTTATTATTAATAGTTATATCGAAAATCTTAATTTTGTGATCTTTTCAAGGCTTAAAAAATTTTCAATATACTTTTTATATTATTAAAAACATAATACTATTTTTCAATTAATATAATTTTTATTTTAAATATAGTTTACTATTTAAATAAAAAAACTCAAAGTCAACGTTTCATTTCAAATTAATTTTAAACTACAATTAAATAGATGAGACAATAGATATGGATGACGGACACTGATAAAAAATTTGGAGTAGTATATAATTATATGTATATATTGTAATTAATTTTTTAAAATGATATTAATAAAATGTTTCAATAAAAAATAGTTTGATAAACAAAGTCAGCATATATACTTACACAAAATATATAGTCTAATATCTACTCAAATAAAATCACTTTAAATTAAAACTACAAAACAAACAAACCAACAATTTTTATACTCATAAAATTAATTCTCTAGAAAATCTCAAGAACCTTAGAGAACATTTGGGAAGAAAACTTTGTATATAAAACAATGTCGAACATTGTGCAAACCCTAAAACAATTATCGATAATTCGTAATATCATTTTTTTTTTTGCAATAAGAATAAAAATAATAGAGTTATTCTTATAAATTTTTATTAATTATTAGTTATTTTGAGGTGTAGAATTATTATTAACATTGTAAAAATAATATTAAAATTTATTTATATTAATTTTTAAATATTTAGTGAGATAAAATAATAGTATATTTTTATTAAAGATATAGATAAATTGTGATATTGTTGATCCCCTCTTTTCGGAAAAAAAAAAAAAAAAAAACTTTATATACTCTGTCCGTCCCTTAACAATCTATCCATTTTTTCATTTTCGTCCGTCCCATAACAAAATATCAATTTTCTTTTTTTAGTAATTGTACCATCTACCTAACATTACAAATACTCTTCCAATTTACAATATATTACACAAATGTCATTACCTTTATATCATACAATACTAATAGGGGTAATTTAGTCTTTTTACTTTTATTTCTACTTTATCTCAATATAATATTAATATTTCTAAAATTTCGTAAAAAAGTAAATGAATATATAAATATGGGACATGAGTAAAATAAAATATCCGGAGGCTCAAAAAATTCTTAAAACCTTTTAGAACACTTGGGAATTATTTATGGATATAATTAGAAATTTGTATATAAAATAAAAATGTCCTAAAAATATTCCAAAGGATAATTGTAGATATAGGATTAAATTGATTTAAATAGTCTATTGTGGGATGAAATTATATAAATAGAGGTGAGTCCTTCATTAATTTGTAAATTATCTAAGTTAGAATTTTTTTTAAAGAAAAAGTGTTATATTTTTTTTTATTGTAATTTTAATTTAATATTTTATAAATGTAAATAAATTGATTTTATTATCAACTGTAATTGAATACTTATAAAAGTAATTTTTTAAAAATAAATTATCATAAATTTCTAATAAAAAGATACGATATATGCAAGAATTTATAATAAAGCAGGATAATAATAAATAGATGGTCGAAATGCATCTAATAAATAAAGAAGTTTGATGACGAGAATATATAGTAATAGGGTATTTTTTTATAATTTAATTTCATAATAAAATACAAAAATTATTGATGATAAACTGGTATTAACTTCTCTTCAATATGATTTATTTATTTATTTATTTTCTTATTTAATAAATTAGGTATGTCCGATTATTCAGGAATGTTTACTTTTGTATACTTATGTTTTAATATTTTGTGGCAAAACCGCAAACCCATTCTCGGAGACTGAGGTATTATAATGATTTTGATTTCCGATATTCTTCATGTTATAATTGTTATCTCAAAATATTATTTGAAATAAAATAATATTTATTATTTTTGCGAACATGGTTTGAATTTTTTTTTAAAAAAACAGCTGGATTCACCTGATTTTCGGTAGGCTCGCTCCAATAAGCCCCGAGAAATATTTTGAACTACAAGAATAACCGTGTATTTTTATATTTTTTTTGACAGACCAATTTATTCATATGTGCAGTATTGCACCCGATAATCTTTGACAAATTTTTATTTATAGAGGTGACAAAAACAAACATAATTTGAATTTATATATATATATATATAAAATGAAGCTATACGCTAATAATTTACTTTTAATTTTTATTAGGTTTGTTTGGCACAAATGATAAAAATTATATTGATAGAAATATCTAATTATAAAATTATATAATTCAAAATAAAAATATGTATAAATTATGACTGAGTACTATTTATATTAAAATTTAAATAAAAAAACTTATAATCAAACCCTAATGTCATTTAGGATGTGCTTCTTTTGATTAGTTTGAAAAAACAAATTGGTTTGAATTTAATATTAAAATAATAAATTTGTTCATCAGTATTTATCAAAAGAACAATTTTCCTTAAATATTATTAAAAAATACAAATATACACCCACATTAATATAATATATATGATCAACTAAAAAAATCAACTATTCAATACAAAAATATTATTTTTTATACTATCAACACAATTCTCGTATCAAAAAAAGTCAATTCATTTAAAAATGTTGAGTGAACCTACTGAATATTTGATTAGATATTTTATAAAAGAAAAAAATGTATACTTTTTTTAAAAAATGCAAAAGTCAAATAGTAAAATATTGGGCTAAAAAAACACAACTTTAATTTACTTGTTGTGTGTTTGTTTGGGGGATTGGATTTTAAATATATTATTCATTCCATTTTTTTCTCCCAAAAATATCAAATCAAACATATATTTTTTATATTTTATATTATACTAAAAATTAATTTTACACTGAAAACATCACATCAACACCTATTTATATCACATCATACAATTATTCAAATTCAAAATTTTTACTAATCCAAACCCCCAAAGAAATACACCCTTGCAGTAAAACTGTTGGGCTTAAAAAAAGTCTTAATTTTTTTTAATAAGTATTTGAAATTTTCTTTTATTTTGGTATAAATTATTTTATTTTTTTATTATTATTTATGGAGAATCTCAATTCAAAAATTGACCTAGATGAATAAAACTTATATTTTTGGAAAAAAAAACTACTGAAATAATAAAATAAAAAATCAAACTCCTTTCATCCCATTTTAGATGATATTTTTTTTAGTAAAATATAAATAACTTTAACTAGTTTCGTAATATATAACATTATATATTATATATGTTATATATTATAAGATCTATTTAATTTTTCTTTTTAATTTCTCTCCTTTTAATAACTAAATGTTTTTATTGATATTTAAAATTTTATCTTTTATAAAATTATTTTATTTTAATTATAAATAAATAATTATATTTTTTTGTAATATATAAAATTTTATTTTTTATAAAATAATATCCATTATTACATACCAATGTTATTTGAAATATAATATTTAAAATATTTAAACATATATTATAAAAATGCAAGATGAAATAAAGTAAACACAATTGCTAATGATTTGAAAATAAAATTTTGATTTAAAATTCTAATTTAAATATTATTTAAATATGATATTTTATTAAATAAAATAGTCATACAATTTTATTAAATATTGTATATATTAAATAGTGATTATTTTGATTTTGTAATTCTAATCAAGATTCAATTCCTTATTCATTCTGCATTCATTTGTTCTAAGTTCGGAATGATTGCAATCCATCGAAAAAAAAAAAAAAAATTATACGAAAAAAAATTATTTTTGTCTCAATATAACCAAATTCATCAATTTGGATCCCAATTTAAAAATCTTATCAATTTTGGTCCCAATAAAACTAAAACTCATCATTTTTTGTCTAAATATAACCAAAACTCATCATTCTTGGTCCAAATATAAAATTTTTATCAATTTTAGCCCCAATATAACCAAAACTCATCATTTTTTTTATCTCATCAGTGCAATTTCTTCAAATATAAATATAAAGTTTGATTTCCTCGATTTGTAGACGGTGGGACCAAAAAAGATAAATTTAATTATATTGGGACAAAAAATGATAAACTTTTGTTATATTGGAACTAAAATTGATAAAAAAATTTATATTGAGACAAAAAACGATGAATTTTGGTTATATTAAGACAAAAAATGATGAATTTTGGTTATATTATGACCAAAATTGATAAGATTTTTATATTTGAACAAAAATTGATAAATTTTGATTATGCTGAGACTAAAAATGATTTTTTCCCACAAAAATATTTATTTGATATAATTTCTTTTCGAAAAGTATTACTGTTTGACATATTGATATAATAATGCCGAAATTTTAAAAAATATACATGTAAACAGATGATATCTAAATCTTATAAGTAATCCATTAGTAAACTGAAAAAAATCATAAGCATACCAAAAACATAAACGACTCCGATAAGAAATGCAATTTTGATATAATGTATTGTAAAAATTCATGCCGGATAACGGCTAGTCCTTTTAATATCCGGCAATCACAATTATATTTCTTGCCGGAGTCTGTTATATTTTCGGCATGTTTATATTTTCTCAAACATAGAACTTGTTCTCTATCCCTCTTTCATTCTAAAAAATAACAGAGCGCAACATCGAACACGATACAAAAGGTTACATAACAATACTTATTTTAAATGCCATCGAACGCTATATACAATTTTATACTTGTTTTGCAGCAAAATCTTTTTGTCGCTATATGTTTAAAGGGCTCTTTTGAAATCGAAGCACACTGTATTATTCAAAGCAAACGAAGTCTCGTATTTGATATAAATAAAATAAGGGGAGTTCTTGAGTTTAATAAACCTGTTAGTTTTATGGAGAATCGTAAAGATTTGTGTTCTCAAGACAACAAAATCGCATAAGCAGATGTACCTGAGGATTCCTAAGTCTTTTTTCATCGAGTGGTTGGGGATGAGCCAGTTGAAAGTCTTTGACTCCTAGCTTTGTCCGCCCGCTCCAAGTAATCTTGATGAGACTGGTGCTTTGTACCTTCGAGAAATATAAGGTTTTTTTTAGATACATAATATCTCAACAGTCGAAGAACTTAGCATAAGGATTTTTTTTCTAACAACAATCATCTACGCCAGCAGTAGCCATGTTCGAAGAACTTGCAAGAAATAGAGATATTTCAATTAGATTCAAGAATCAACTGTAACTTGTGCTAACTACAATTAGACATCGAACATGGCGATGAATTATCCATGAGCAAGAATAGAACAAGCAACCATACAATACGGTTAACGCGACAAACATTATAATTTCCCAATCCCGAACATGGAAAGCTCCACACACTGATATATTGCAAAACCAAATGCGCCAGTAATGTCATTATCCTCCTAATGAACAAATATTATAATTTCCCAATATGGATGTGAAATTTTTTTAATGAAAATACTTTAGATATAACGTTTCAAACTTAAAGTAGGGATGCAAGATGCATTTTCATAATAACAATTAATGAAAAAAAAGGTGTTGAATGTAAGGTTTCTTAGGCGAAAACAATATATATGTTGCAAAAAACAAGTTTTTAAACAAATTTAACACTCACATGGATATATTTTCCCCCTAATGACTGATAAATTGCCGAACTAATGGCCGAGTGTACAAATCCCTTATGATCAAGCTCAGAACAATCAACAATGGCACCAATTTATAAATATGCACACACACTATCAAGAACTACATTTATAAGACCTGTAAATGTGCGCGCACTTTACCTTATTCTACTCTCCAAAACATCACATTATTCTTCGTTATTCTATTTTACAAAACATCATTTAAACCTAATTCCAAAAAAAATAAAATAAAATAAAAAGTTTCAAAACACAAGTACGGAGAGAACACACAGGCAGATTAAACCACATTCTTTCCAAGCAAAATAACAGTTTAAAGTTCATCGTCCAGAACAGCAAAAATCGTAACAATCTCCTATCATTGTCTTCAATAATCATAGAAAAAAAAATCGAAATTAGGTTAAACGTCGCGAAAAGCTAAGAAAATAAATAAATAAATCTCAATATTACCACAATTCAAAACCAATCACAAATGACAAATCGCACATCCATCCATGAACTGAAACTCAACATCATTCTCAATTTCCAAACGAAAATTATCGTTTTCAATTCGAAAATTTCAATAAAGGAAAGCACAAAAATTTAAAACTAAAACTCACCGCGACTCATGAAGTACCAGGGAACACCAAATATCACTCCGATGACGGCGATCCCCGCTATGACATGCTTTTTTTCGCCGCTGTACAATACATGGTCCAATTTAGCACGGAATCCCCCACCTCCGGCAGCCGCACCCGTTCCATTACCGGTTGTCTTCGCGTCGCCGGTCATTTTTTTTCTCGCTGACTACTCTTTCTTTCTGATGTTGCGATTAGGAAAAACCCTCGCCTAAAATGGACTTACCCAAACCGGTTTCGATCCGACGGTCCAGACCGACAGTTCACCAACTCGAGCCGGCGGTTCGGACAGGAGAAGAAAAAAAAATACTCTATCTATTCAAAATAACAAAGATATTTGGGATGGACACAAGGAATAATATTATTATATTGATAGGAGGGGTAAAAATATTTTTTAAAAACTAAAATATATTTACTTTATGCAATTATTGTAAAAAAATTGAAATAAATATGAGGAGATAATTACAAAAAAAAAATAATAAAATTATTATTTTAAAACGAACAAAAAATAACGAAATAAAATTATTAATTTAAAAAAAAAAGTAATTCAAGTCACTTTCTTTTTCTAAAATTATTAAAAATATATATCAAAAATATATTATTAATATACTATTACATCTGTGCTTCTATCCCATCAAAAAGTAATATTGATTTTTTGCCAAGTATTTGAATACTCTATTAATTATTATATTAGCATGTAGTATTGGTTTTTTGCATGATATTTGAATACTTTATTAATTATTATATTAATATTTAATATAAATTAAAAGAAAAATATAAAAATACATATATTAGTCTCTTATAATATAAATATAATAATATTTTTAAGTAAATTATACAAATATAAATATATTTTAAATATTAAAAACAATAATTAAAAAACAAATGATACATTCTTATGGAAAAAGGTGTATTATTTTTTTAATTAGTTTTTTAAATGTTAAAATTTGATTTTTTATATTATTAAATAATTATAAAAAATACTACTCATTTGTCTTATAAGAAGAGTTTCGTTTTTTATTTTAATTCGTCTCAAAATAAGGGTACTATTTTCTAATTTAGTAATTGTACTATATTCCTAACATAATAAATATTATTCCAATTTACATTATATTACACAAACGTCACAACCTTTATATTACACGATATTAATAAAAATATTTCAATATAATATTAATATTAAAAAATTACGTACAAAAAATAAAAATTACTCTTTATAAAAGACAAATGGAGTATTTTTATTTAATTATAAATATATATATCAAATAATTTAAAGAAAAATATAACAAACAAAACATAAACCGTGAATATGGACACTCAAATATTGAGGCATGAACACGGTTCAAAACACTTCCTTATTGAGTACAACATGACTGAGTTGGCTGTCTGGACATGAGCAAGTGGTATCTCCTCCTGTAGAGATACCCAGATCAGGTCAGAATTTTGAATTTTAAATATAATAAAAAGATTTGGTGTTATGTATGCAAAAAAATCCTATAATTTTTATTTTATGTTTTATTTAATTTTTATAATATTTATATATATACTTTAATTTTTTTTATATTTTTATATTACATAAAATTTTATTCTATAATATTTGTATTTTTTTAAATTTTAAAATGATTAAATTTAATATAAATATAAATATATATTTTTTTTTGAATTGAAAGAGAGAATGAGGAAAAATAATGTGAAGTGAAAATGTAAAAATATTTTACGCGGGCTGAAGCGCTCAATCAATACTGCAGTAAATTTTAATTCAAATAAAAATAAAATTGAAAAAAGAAGTCGAAGATGAAATGGATAATTATCATATTTAATGTGAGAAAAATAAATGATTTTTGCTCTTTAATTATTTATTTATTTTCTCTTCGTTACATATACATCATCACCGAGCGCCGTCCTGCCACCGAGACAGTACTTCAGGTTTGAAAATGAACACACAAATAAAAAAGATTTGAGGAATGAATTCATGGCATTACTAGCCATTGTTAGGAACCTTCGATTCCGCAAAGGAACTCCCAACTTCTCTCAAATCCCATATCTTCTTCCTCGCCAATTCACTTCGCAATTAAACCCTTCCTTCGTTCGGGCATTTCATCGAACACCTTGCAGACGACCCGATTACGCCCCTCAATTGAGCTTCTTCCCGCAAGATCAATCTCAATCTCAGGTCCGGAGCATTTCCCGAAAGATTAATTTCTCGGATTGGGCAGAAGAAGTTCGTGGAGACGCCCAATTAGGTCTCGGTGAAGTGTTGGAGAGAGTTCGGAAGGCTAAGGACTTCGCTTCTGGTGATGAAGCCGTGGCGTTTCTCGACGGTTGTGGCGTCAAACCGGATAAGGATTTCATCTTTTCGTGTGTTTGGGGATTGAGAGAGGAGTGGAAATTGGCGTATTTGGTGTTCAAATGGGGCGAGAAATGGGAGTGTCTGGCTGAAAGGACTTGGTGGCTGGTAATATGGGTGTTGGGTAGCCATAAGAAGTTCAGCACTGCTTGGACTTTGATTCGTGAGCTTCACCGAGATGCTTCCATTGATGCTCAACAAGCAATGCTGATCATGATTGACAGGTAGATTTGAGGTACTGCTTTATGGTCTTTTTGATGATCTCGAACTGCAATTTAATTCTTGGTTTTAATTGTTAATTTTTTATGATTTTGAACTGCAATTTAGTTCTTCTCTTTGGTTTTAATGGCTTTCACAAATTGTTTATGATCTTGATCTGCAATTTAGTTCTTCTCTTTGGTTTTAATGGCTTTGTTAAATTGTTTATGATCTTGAACTGCAATTCAGTTCTTCTTTTTGGTTTTAATGGCTTTGTTAAGTTTTTTATGATCAAGAACTTCAATTTAGTTATATTATTTTGGTTTTAGTGGCTTCATTAAATTGTTTATGATTGTGAATGGCTTTGTTAAATTGTTTATGATCGTGAACTGTAATTTATTTCTTCTTTTTGGTTTTAATGGCTTTGTTAAATTGTTTATGATCGTGAACTGTAATTTATTTCTTCTTTTTGGTTTTAATGGCTTTGTTAAATTTTTTATGACCTTGGACTGCAATTTAGTTTTTCTTTTTGGTTTTAGTGGCTTTGTTAAATTTTGTGTGTTCATGAAGGATGATTCTCACAGTTAATCCTATAAGAAGTGTTGTGAAATCTTGTTTTACAATCTTCATTTTGGTGTTCCCATGATTCGCTCTTAGTAAGTTTATTTTTTTGGTAACTTAAGCTTCCGATTGATTTGTTTCAATTTTTGGCATTGCTGAACTTATTTGAATATGTTTCGGAATTGATTTGTAGTTTTGCTTTGGTTTTGGAATAGTAAAAAGTTAGAATAGAAAATAGGTAGTTGGTTTTTGGATGTGATGTTTGAATAGAAAATTGAATGTTATACTTTTTAGAAAGGAAAATACATATATTTTTGGTAGTGTTTTGATATTTTAGATTGTTTTTGTAATTGTAAAAAGTTTGAATAGAAAATAGGAATTTGATTTGCCGTAAATAAGCGTTGGTGTAATGTTTTGCATAAAAAATAATTATTTGTTCTAACATGTTAAATGCAACATAGATATTAAATGCAATACTTTTTAAAGAAGAAATTTTAACAAACAATGCTAAAGAAAGTTGAAAACATAAGGAAACGAATCGGGTTTGTTCACTTAGCATTTTTAAGTGGAACGATTTTCTATAAATATTATGAAAAAATACAATATATACATATTAACACAACATATAATATATATTTTATCTACTCACAAAAAGTCAACAATTAAATACAAAATATTATTTTTTATATTACAACATAATTTTACATACCTAATATAAAAATACTTACGTCTAAAAATATAAAGTGAACAAACCTAATATCTTATTTTGAGTCACAGTATTCATCATTTGTCTGAATGTTCTATAGGTGGTTTAGCAGATTTTTTTTTTTTTTTTAATTGCATTAATTTGATTTACATCATAGGTATATATAGTTCAACATATTTAGAATACGATTTGACATATTTATTCTATGTTTTTATAGTTCAATACTATGCTGATGTTTTATATGGTTCAATATGTTTTATCGGTAGTTAAACAGATTTGATATGTTGTTGATCTGATTTTTTTCACTATTCAGGAATCAGGAGTACAATACTGAAATAAATTCACCACAAATCTAAATCCATTAAAAATAAAATTGTTAAGGCTTTATTTGTTTTGTGTTTGTGTTAAGATAATGACTTGATGTGGTGTTTTTGTAAGAGATGATAAATATATTTTTATAGAGAATTATACAAAATTGCATAGTAAAAAAATTCAAAACATGTGATTTTTGTGGTTCTTTTTCTAGATACATCGTTTGTTTGGTTGTATTTTGAAAGTAAAAATTTTGATTTATAATGAATGTTTGATATGATCTAAACATGTATTTGATGTGATTTTTGAATAGATAAAAATAATTTGTATGCAATATATAAACTGAAGAATTGATGTGTAATATGATATTTCCGGAAGAAATAAAATGAGTTACCGTAGATAAAAATAGATGAACTTGGCATGTGGGATTGAAGCCATATTTTGTTTGCACGGGGTTATCTTTAAACTTAAGTTTTGTACGTTCTACACATATTTATAACAGTTGATCGAATCTTTATTTTATTTCAAATTTTGAAAGGTATGCTGCGGCGAACTATCCCGACAAGGCAATCGAGACCTTCCACTTAATGCAGAAGTTCAAGTTTTCGCCAGAGCAAGAATCATACTTCACATTCTTGGACATTCTTTGCAGACACGGGAACATCGAAGAGGCAGAAGAGTTCATGTTTGTCAACAAGAAGTTCTTCCCATTAGAAATCGAGACCTTCAACATAATTCTAAACGGATGGTGTAACATACTCAAGGACATCTACGAAGCCAAACGCGTGTGGCGGGAAATGTCGAGCTGCTGTATCGAGCCGGACGGGACGTCGTATACGCACATGATTTCCTGCTACGCAAACGTGGATAACCTATTCGATTCGCTAAGATTGTACGATCAGATGAAGAGAAGGGGTTGGACTCCCGGGGCGGAGGTATATCATTCGTTGATTTACGTACTAACGCGTGCGAATTGCCTAGACGAGTCTTTTAAAATTGTCGATAGGATGAAAGCGACGGGTTTGGAATTGAGCTCGACAACTTATAATCTTATGATACGTCCTCTTTGTGAAGCTAATAAGTTTGAAGAGGCGAGAGGTGTATTAGCCCGGATGTTTAACGAAGGTATTAATCCGAGCGTCGACACTTACCACGCGATGATTTTGGGCGAGAATTTATACGGCACTTTGGGGGTTTTTGACCATATGAAGAAAGTTGGTTTGGGACCGGACCGGACGACTTTTATTCTTGTTCTTGAAAGGTTCTTTCGGTTAGGCGAACCCCAAAATGCATTAGAGATATGGTCGAAAATGGATGATTATGGAGTGAAGCCAGACGAGACACATTATGTTATTTTTGTAAAAGGATTGGCGAAATGCGGGCTTATGAGCGAAGCCAAGAAGTTCTATAGTGAGATGACATCTATTGGGCTCGACGATCCTTCGATCAAGAAATTGTTAGTAGGAATGAAGACGGGATCCGGGGCAAGAAAAAATACGGGGGAGATGACCATTGTGAGGTGTGTAAAGAAAGGGAAAGGATTGCGGCGCGGAAAGAATAAAGCTTCCCGTTGATCGTGAAAGAAGAGACAATGTCGAAGTGACCTTAAATTATCATGTTCTTGTGAGTCGAATGAGAAATGTTGATAGGGTGAATTTGGTTTGTGTTTGTATTTTATGTTTAAATAGTACTCCCTCTGTCCTAAACAAGGTGCAACTTTTACTTTTGGCACGGGTTTTTAGATTGGTAGTATTAAGTAGGATAATTTAGAAACAAGATGATGTGATAGAGAGAGAAATATATATTTTATTTTTTTATTTGGACGATGTGAGAGGATAAAGTGTGGGGTAAATATTAAGTATAATTAATTATTTTCTATTTTGGAAATGTTGAAAGGTATTTGAGACAGAATAAGTAGTTAAAAGTCAATATTTTTAAGCGAAAATAATCATTTTTATAGAGTTATGCTCACCAAGTGGTGTTTCATTCACAGGGCTGGTCCAGACTTTCAAAATGAAGATCTCATCATTGAAAATCTACTGAATACCATCAAACTATACGTATTTATATATATCAAATAATTATATATATAAGTTATATTTACGATCCTCTATTTATATTGGGTCCTGAGTGGACATGTCTCTCGTTCGGGTTCGAGGCCGGTTAGGTTCATTCAATCTTTAAAAGGTAATAAGAAAGTTTGCATATTTAGTAAAAATGGTGACTTTGTGTGACTTTTATTCATGATGATACATAAAGATCATTATTATTGCAAAGTAGAAGAATAAAAGTTACATACTTTCTTCTTTCTTTCTTTCTTTCTTTCTTTCTTTTTTTATTTATTTATTTTTTTTTAAAGTACTTTTGCCTAAAAATGCTTTATTATTTTATGTAAAAACGACTTATGATCAATCTATATATCCTCTTTTAGGATCTAATTGACAATATATATCACAATACTTTATACAATATACATTAATGTTGAATTTATTAATATCATATGTTAGCATTAACACAATACAAATAAACATAACAAAATTTAACTTATGCCAACTAAATTTAGATATTACATGACTAGAACTAGACTTACTTTGATGATATAATAGAATACAATTTCAAATTTTATTGTGTTTATCTAAGTTTATATATATATATATATATATATATTCCGAGCTTCCTATGCCATTATGTTTGGGTAAGAAAACTAAATACCAATATTTTCTTTATCCGTGATGTTTGATGTCATTTTGTTCGGACACTGAGACTAATAATAATAATATTGTAATATAAAAGTAAAGTGATAAAGAATAAAATATGATTATTTTAAAAAATTTATTAAAAATTTGATAAAAAATAATAACAAATTAGTAGTCTACATCTGTCCTCGAATCTATTATTATTTTTTTATTGTCATCTAAATTTATTTTTAATTTTTAAGTAAAAAATATCAAATTTTTTTTGTACTTTTTCTTTATTAAAAAAATATTTTTTTTTATTTTTATCTATTTTTTTAAAAATTTGTATCAGATTAAATGAATAAACAATTGGATAACAATGAATAGAATAATTAAATAAAATTATCAAAACTAGGACGAACCACGTGTGACAGGTGACCTACCCCTAAACCACCAAATCATCTCTTACGGGACGATAGAGGATTGTTTTTGTTGTTGGGGTGGGTGACTGGAAAGGAAAATAGATATTTATTTGATTTGATATTTTTGGAGAAAAAAAAAAAGAGATGAATAATTAAAATCGTAACAAATCCTCCAAATAAACACACCCATAATGAATAGCTAAATAATAAAATCTAATATAATTATAATGGATAAAAAATTAGTATTTTAATATAAAATAAGAGGTATGTAAAAAAATTATATATATTATAAAATTTATTAAAAAAAATAAATTATTATTTGTTAAAATAAATATAAAATTAATGATACAAAAAGCTAGTGTAACTATCGAGGACGGAAGAGTAGAAAAGTAAAAAATAAGGCGAGAAAATAGAGGCTCAATTAATTTACTGTACATAATTACTGTAAAATGTAAATAATTTATTTACGTCGGAACCGGTGAATATTTATTAGGTACGCCAGGGAGCAAAGATCCAAAACCAAAATCTGCAATACACGGTTAGGGCATAGGACTTGAGCTCCATGGACCTGGAACCAGTTCCGCTTTATCAGAAGCCACGTGTAAAGCACGTGCATACTGCAATATTCCCTCCTCCACCACCACCGCCGCCACCACCACCACCGGTGTCGCACTGGGGAACGGGGATGTCAGTCCCCACTCGGGGACTGTGGCTATATTACGCCGAGCGTAGCCATTTTTCTTAATTCACTCCACCAATCATTCGTCGACGCGTGTACGTCAAATTCTCTTGCCACCTCTCAGTATAAAAACCCTCTGTGCCACCTTCGTGTTCGTCTGCTCGTGCTCGGTGGCCGTCGGCGGCTATGGAATTCATGAAGTTCATTTGCCCTGATTCTCCATATGTAAAAGCCGTTTTATTCGTTTTTTTTTAATTTCTTCTAATACTGTAATTTTATTTATTTATTTATTTTAACGCAATGTCTTCATCGATGTTGAGAAACTTGCTTCAGTCTGTAGCTTCACTTTTCGGGAGTTCTTGAATGATTCCAATATGGGTTTTCTTGGTCTGGATTTTTTTTTTTTTATTTTTTTTTTTTTTAATTTTTTGGCCTGTTCTGCATGGATCAATGGAGTGAAGATTCTGAAAAGAATAAGGGGATTAGATTAGGGATATATATTTTGTCCATTTCTTGCTTATTTTAACTATTTATTATTTTGTGAGCCTAATTTATTTTTGTTGTATGGACAGGTATGGAATGGCGATGGAATTTCAGAATGTTTCGACAATCTATATCCTTCAATGTTGTATTTTCAGCATTATAGACAACAATTTTGAGAAATAAGAGTGTTTAGTTGGTGATTTTTTGGGTTTTGGTTTTTGGTTCGAATAGTGGTTTTGGTTTACAGTAATGTTTGTAAGAGGAAATCATACATATATATATATTTATAAAGAATCGTGATGGTTTTACAGTAAAGAAAAGTAAAAATAGTTTCCGAGTGAACAAGTTTGCTTGTGTTTTGGTGGTTTGAGTTTTGAAACTTTTGAGGCGAAAATGGGTGTCGGACATAATGTTTCGAATTAAAAAATTGTGGTAAATGTGGTGTGTTTTGTCCTTTTAACATGTGGTCATTGTTTTTGCATCTGTATCTTGTGTTTAAATAGTGGTTGGATGTGGTATTTTGTGAGAATGAATAACGTATTTTTATTGTAACCATAAAGACTACATGGTAAATAAATTGAAAAACGCTCAAAAATAACCGAGCCTAATGTATGTTCTTTTAAATTTCCTTAAAAAATATTTACAGTGCTAGGTTTTGGAGCCAGCATGGTGACTCTGGCTATGATTTTCGTGCTTGGAATTATTAGTAGGCACCGGAAACATTTGAGGAGGGTATGCTAATAAAATTACTTCATTCTTGGATTACTAAAATAGGCAATATTGTAATATATATTTAAATTTTCTATGATCTACCTTATGTTTTAAGTTGCAAGGAGCTCCAAACATGTGTAATCATGGTCTAAAAGTGTTAAATGTAAAAAAAAAAAAAAAAAGAAAAGAAGATCAGGAGTTCTTTACCTGAGGTTGAGTTTGTTTCGATGCAAATGCAACTGTCATGGATATCTGCATTTTGTTTACGGAAATTATTATATTAGTTCTGCTCGTCACTCTGTATTTACAGGGACATGAAAATTTCAAATTCGAATGGTAGAGTGGTGACACATGTTTTAGTGTCAAATTTTGATTTTCAAAGCGTAATGGCAACAAGGAGCTTTTAACTAATCATTTTCGATAATCTAGAAACTTCTATTGTATTTATTTTTATTTCGATGAGTTGCTGATCTGTGTTGTGCAATCAAATAGATCCCTCCTCCAGCGAAGATTGTAATTTCCATTGTCGCCGCTTTTGGGGCATGCTTAGCATTCTTTGAAGTGATTATGCTATTGAGGACAAGCTTAAATGCACAATCTTCATCATTATTTCATGAATGGCTTTATGTATGCTCTCAATTCACGGTCTGGGTAAGTTTAAAATTGTTATCTTTACTTTAAAAATCCGGAAAAAGGACTTCTTGTTTTTCAAATTTTCAATTTTTGGCTTTCAGGTGGTTGTTCTAATTATGTCATGGTGTAAGGGTTGGGTGGATGTCTTGTGCAATGACATCCTATGTTTCTGGTGGATCGTTTATATCTTCTTCTGGATACCACGAGCATTAGTTTCTTCCGAAGCTCAGGTAATCAATTCCCAAGAATTCATGTCAATGGCGTTAGCTTTAGTTAAGATCTGTTAATTACTTTTGTACATGTTTGCACTTAGGTGTTTAGCAGACAAGAATTTGAGTAAAAATTATTAGAGTGAAAAAATTGTCACAACATCCTTTTGTCGATGTAATGTAGCCAGTTTTGTTAATTAGTGTTTCCTTTTATTGTTATTTGTTGCAGCCTATAAGACGGATGGAGGATATTTTAGGGGCTACCACAGTGTTCATTTTCGGAATTTCAATGAATGTAATAAGGATGAAGTTTGCCTCCAATGTGAACAGGTATGAAGTTCTTATTTCCATTAAGAAAACACAAATTTTTTTCTTTTAATGTTTGAAGGTTCGACTCTTTCATCTATTATGCTGACAGCCACAAGTTAGAAAAGAATACTCTTTAGGCAGAATAGTAACTTGTGATCACCTGTGATGTCAAATCAACAAATGTACATGATCATTTGGTAATCCAATTTGTCTGGCGAGACAACCCCGTTAACAATAACATTGGAATAGTTAAATAGTTATAATATTCCACAAATTAACTTGTTCTTGAACCATGGGAATAAAAAAACTAAAAAGAAATTAGCTATTGTAATCCTTTCATCTGAGAATTAAAACAATTTTGCATGTTATTGAGCCTTATTTACCAATTCTTAATCCCGGGGGCTTCTACATATTGCCCAATTTTTAAAAACTTTGCTCCAGAAAGTCATTGTCTTTTCATTATACTTGCTTCTACATTCATCCTATAAAACATTTGCTCACAAATGTTCAATGTAAAAAGCTGGAAATACCTTTTGATTGAGGATTTGAATGTGAATAATTTTGCTACTTCTTTCAAGAAGGTTTCTTAATGTTTTAAATTTTGGATTGATTATCGAATCTTGTGTTTACTGTATCTGCTACTATATTAGATAGGTGCTTCTTTATCAATGTATAGTTGATTCATCATTTGTATTTCTAGTAATTAGTAAACTAATTTTACCTTAATACCTTTAATTTACAGTTCAATGGTGGAGCCACTCCTTCCTTATGGAATTAAAGTTGATGAAAGTCAATCTATGGGCTCAGTAAGTTCATTTTGCACCATTCCGAAGCTATTGGTTTATTCAATTCATGGTTTTATTTTATACTTTGCCATATGGAGAACCTTATACATCTGTTGTTTTGTTGAAGGGAGTTTTCCATAAAACCTGGTGTCTAATGACATTCAAAATGATCGATCCTGTAATGAGAATTGGGGTAATCAAGCAACTTAACTTTGAAGATTTACTTCAGTTGCCATTAGATATGAGTCCTTCATCTTGCCATAATTTGCTCTCGAGAATGTGGGATGCCCAACAAAGAAGTCAACCTTCATTGTTCAAGGCCATATGCTCGGCATATGGATGGCCGTATTTCTGCATAGGTTTGTTAAAGGTATGTTCGTACTTTTGCATGAATTCACTACGGTATGATTTTACTGAGAAAAAATATTGATTGAAATGATTTTTTTAACACTATATATGAGATCAAACATAGTAGTGGTTTATTGTTGTGCTAGTGTTTGTTGCCAGAACAATTGTCAAAACGAATATTAATCGATTTATGTTTCTTTAGGTCTACAGGTGTCATGGCCATAATCTCATCTTATGCTTTTTTTTTTTTTTTTTTTTTTTAAGTTGGAATAGTATTTGTACTAATAACATGTTGCTTCTTGTTGTCAAATTATTACACTTTTTTGGTATGACACATGATTTGTTTACGAGTTTCTAGTTATCGTTGCTGATTTGCGGCAGAATATGATAAATATGGTGGGCTGCATTGATCTTTGGTGATGAATTAATTGATATGATGAGTTATATATTGAATATTCTTTTGAGATGATTTGTTTTTTAAGTTTTATTCATATGATCTTTAGCTAGTTTTTGTCTTTTTGACATGATAATTTTGAAGTGTGACATGTGTTATGATCATTCTCATGCACTTTATTATCTGAATTACATCATTTAGAATTTTTCCCACACTATTTTATATTATTGTTTTTTGTCTACAAAACTACGCTATGCACTTTGCTTTGCTACTCATCCATTCATGCCTACCTTTAAATTTTTCGGAAATTGCCCTTTATTTGTATTGAAAACTATATCATAGTGTTAGATTGATTATTTACCTTTATTCAGGTGCTTAATGACAGCCTAGGTTTTGCTGGACCATTACTTCTTAATCGACTAATCAGTTTTCTTCAGCAAGGTATACATTTATAATTACTGTGTATTAGAAAACTTTTACGGCTGTTGATCAATTGTAAAAGTTAATCCTTAAATTGCTATCGATCTTAATAAATTTTGTGGCCGACTCAAGTTTAGTTTATGTAAACATTGAGATTCAGTGATGATATGTGTGGAGTAGTTCATCCATTCAATTTTGAAAATAGTCTTAACATACAATAGATGCTATTCGATTATTATAAACATGAAATTCAATTGTTATATTAAAAATTGATGGACTCATGTGTAAAGAATGAGTTTTGATTGACAAAAATGTATCCATGGTGATATTTTGCTGTCCATTTTACCTTTGAAGCTTGACCTGCTCCGACTTTCTTATTTATTTATTTATTTTATCGGGTTACGACATTGTTTTGCAATAAATTTTGCACGAAATGACAGTGTAATTTGTATTGACATTTAAGTTTCATTGAACAGGCTCTACAAATGCCGATGGTTACATTCTTGCAATATCATTGGGTTTGGTATCAGTGTTAAAGTAATTCTTTTTATATTTTTTCTTCTGCACAATTTTCATATCTTATGTGCTGTATGATTTTATTAAATATTGATTTTCTTGCTTGAAGAAGCCAGTTTTCATGTACATTGTTACTGTATAGAGCATTCTTGGTTAACTTGTATTGGAACACATTGCCTTGATTTTCGATTAATTGGTGCAGGTCATTCCTTGACACACAATATTCTTTTCGTCTTGCCCAACTTCGGCTTAAGTTGAGGTCCGGAATTATGACTTTCATCTATCGTAAGGTAAAACATACAAAAACTTCATGTTTTTGGTCGAAATAGTTGATGAATTGTGAGTTCGTTTTTTATGTTTTTTTTCCTATGTCTCTCTTTGTAGAACCATATGCAGTGATAACTTTTTATTATCATTATGTTTTTAAAATTTCAATCAGTAGCTGATTTGGTCAATAGTTTTACAGAGAAATTCCCAAATATGATATGTAGCTAATTCCCAAATATGATTTTGTTCTGTAAGCATGATTCATTATTGATTACAAAATGCATTTTCTTTTCAGTGTCTCTATGTCAACTTAGCAGAGAGATCAAAATTTTCTGAGGGTGAAATTCAAACATTCATGTCCGTGGACGTAGACAGAGTCGTAAACCTGTGCAACAGTGTTCATGATATGTGGAGGTTATATTTCTATGCACTTACCTGTATTCTACCTCGACGAATGTGTTTGAATATGATTTGGTACATTTCATTTATGTTGAATAATAGCAACTGACGAAACATAAATTTCTTCAAAAATGGTTTCCAAGCCGATTGAATAATTAAAATTTAGATTTTTGGGGATTCACTCCTTGCTTTTCTGTGTAACTAATTCAGCTTGCCTTTTCAAATTGGAGTTGCTCTGTTTCTACTGTATCAACAAGTCAAGTTTGCCTTCGTTGCCGGAGTAGCCATAACTGTTTTGCTGATACCAGGCACGTCCACGACCTGTTTTATTGTTATGCAGTCATACATTGACTTTACTTTGAGTTACTTTTTCTAGTAAATGGTTTAGTTTTATTAGTTTGCAGTAAAGATTGATTCAGAAAACGATTTTATCTTCCGAAAATCTGATTCTAGTATTTCCGTAAGTACTCAAGAAACTAAACTACATGATTAACTGAATTCTCAAATTTTGGCTACATTATATTCCATACCTTATGAATATGTGTAATATTGTTTAAACTCCACAATTTTAATGTGTGTGCAAGTTTTTGATACTAACTGTTGTATCCACAGTTAACAAATGGATTGCAAATTTGATCGCAAACGCCACAAAAAGTATGATGGAGCAAAAAGATGAAAGGTATATATATATATATATATGTATGTATGTATACACGTAACCTGCATGATTTATTTGCAAAACAGACTTCATTTAGATGTATTTCAAGTATATACGATTTTGTTTTAGAAAAAATTTTAATGGCTCATACGGGCTTGAGATTATTAATCTTGCGGTACTGCACTCGTCGATGATCCTTGAGCTGACAGGATTAGAAGAACAGCTGAGCTACTTACATATATCCGAACCCTAAAAATGTACGGATGGGAGCTGCTTTTTTCCAGATGGTTGATGAAGACAAGAGCCTCCGAAGTGAAATACTTATCGGTAAGCATAATTTAGTTACAGCTAATTTAGCACGTTGAAAAATGTATATTTAGATAGATTTTCCCCGTTCTTGTTAGGTTAGGAAATATTTGGATGCATGGTGCGTGTTCTTTTGGGCAACGACGCCAACTCTGTTCTCTCTTTTCACATTCGGTTTCTATTCTTTAATGGGCTATCAGCTGGATGCCGCAACGGTACTGACCCCATTTCAATGCTTTGTTTCATTTTCGAAGAAGAAATTCTGTTGGAATGATTGTTAAATACTTTTCGACTTGAATTGAGTTTCAGGTTTTTACTTGTCTGGCTCTGTTTAATAATTTGATATCTCCTCTGAATTCATTCCCATGGGTCATCAATGGTTTGATAGATGTAAGTTTCGAGTTTCTAGTTTCTGCTCGTATATGATTTTACCCTCGAACCTCAAAATTATGTAAAACTGGTTATGATTTCTTTAGGCAGCTATATCTACGAAACGGCTGAACAGGTATCTATCTTGTTATGAAAGTGATTTGAGGGCAGACGACACAAGTCGAATCGTTTATGATGGGAAAAAAATTGATTGTAAAGAGACTGCCATTGCTGTCCATGATGCTTCCTGTACATGGTCAAGCTATGATGAAAATGAATTCGATTTGGTTTTGGAACATGTAGATCTTCATGTTCCAAAGGGTTCCATGGTTGCTATAATTGGAGAGGTAAATATTCCTTCATAAGAAATCTTACTTCGAGATTAATTATGAGCTCGAAATTCTCTTACAATGTCGTTGTAATTTTGGATCTTCCGACGTAATAAACAGGTTGGATCTGGGAAATCATCTCTTTTAAACATGATCCTACACGAAACTAGACTTATCAACGGATCGATCCGCGTCACTGGATCAAGAACATACGTACCACAGGTCGATTTTATTTATCTTTCCTGTCGATCACTTTTCTTTCTTGGAATTATATTCACACCTTTTTTTTTTTTCTTTATCCAGGTCCCTTGGATAATGTCGGGAACTCTCCGCGATAACATTTTGCTCGGAAAGGACTATGATCCGACAAGGTAGTGCCGAGAATTTCATCGACTTTCCGAATTGTAATATATACTGTACTTTTACTGTTTTATACACAGATATACAGAAATACTACAGGCGTGCACTCTGGATGTCGACGTTTTGTTAATGGTGGGAGGCGACAATGCTTGCATTGGCGAAAAGGGGATTAATTTATCGGGAGGACAGAGGGCTCGGCTTGCTCTGGCCAGGTAGCTGTTGTCCTGAATTGATTTGTTTTAATGTTCTCTCGATATCCTTTTTCGTTTATTACTTGGATCGACAGGGCTCTTTATCACGGCTCGGATGTATTCCTGCTAGATGATGTTCTAAGTGCAGTTGATGCACATGTTGCTCGCTCGATTTTACATGACGCCATTCTTGGCCCTCTTATGAATCGAAAAACGGTCGTTCTTTGCACGCATAACGTTCAGGTTTGTCCATTAGGCAAGATTCTTTGATTTTAGGATTATGTCGTAATTTGTGTTGTTCTTGATGAGCTTACGGCAATATATATACACTTTTGCAGGCAATTTACACGGCCGATATCGTGGTTGTGTTGGATCGAGGCCACGTGAAGTGGGTGGGAAGTCCGTCCGATTCATCGTTCGCATCTTACTTATCGTTCTTATCGCCAAATGAATTTAACGCATTTTGCGATGAACCGCAAAGCTCCGAAAAGGTAACGAGTATCTCCGGCGAATCAATTAAAGTTCTTGAGGTCGATCGTGTTAGCGATACGATCGAAACTCACGACATAATTGAGGTCGAGGCGAGAAAGGAAGGAAGAGTCGAATCGAAAGTATACAAGTAAGTTCATATTACCGAACAGCTCACATAACCGAACTAAATGAAAATTCGATTTAAATATTTTATCGTAATCTTGAACAGAGAGTACGCTGCGTTTTCGGGGTGGTTCGTAGCTGGTGTAACGTTTCTCTCGGCGATCTTGATGCAAGCTTCTCGTAACGGCAACGATCTATGGCTGTCGTTTTGGGTCGACACAACCGGAAACAACCGAAGCGAGTATTCGACAATGTTTTATCTGGTGAGCAACTAGTTAACATCTTAGATTTCTTCGAAATTTGTCAATTTGCATTTCCGATTTGATCATGCAGGCTGTCCTCGGAATATTTTGTTTCGTAAATTCGTCGTTGACGCTACTGAGGGCCTTTTCATTTGCATACGGTGGTTTACGAGCTGCTGTTAGAGTCCACGACCGATTGCTGCATAACCTTATCGACGCGCCAATTAGTTTCTTCGATCAGACACCAAGCGGAAGAATACTAAACAGGTATTATTATTATTATTATTATTAAGCTGCTTCGTTTAAACAGCTCGATTCTAACTTGATTGTATAGACTGTCTTCAGATCTCTACATGATCGACGATTCACTTCCATTTATCCTCAACATTCTCCTCGCAAATTTTGTCGGCCTTCTTGGAATTTTGGTAGTGCTGTCAATTGTACAGGTAATGAACGCGCTCGTCGTTGTAAACGACAAATTCATAATCTTTTAACATACACTGATGGAATTCAATGACGAGTCGTCATTTGTGCAGGCCATGTTTTTGCTGCTGTTGGTACCCTTTTGGTTCATATACAGCAAGTTGCAGGTTCGTAATCTAATTTTCGATAATTTCGTACGATGATATATGAGAAGAGTCAGCATGAAAACAGTGTTACTAAACATACGAAATTTCAGTTTTACTATAGATCGACGTCGAGGGAATTGCGTAGGCTCGATAGTGTTTCCCGGTCTCCAATTTATACCTCGTTTACGGAGATGCTTGATGGTTCCGCGACCGTTAGAGCTTTCGATTCTACGGTACGATTCTATTGCTTAATGAAAATCACTAATGTGGCGAAAAATTTGTAGCACTTATACATCGGCAATCGAAGCTTTTATAGTTAGAGGTTGATTTTGTTTCGTGTAGCTATGATTTTGATCGTGCGCGTTTTGTTTTTCTGAGAGAAATCGATTAATTTTGTTCATCCGCAGGACTTTTTCTTGTTCCGATTCATGCACCACGTCGAAATTTACCAGCGCACTTCGTATACTGAAATTATCGCAAGCTTATGGCTCTCCCTTCGACTTCAGGTACACGGATCGTTTGAAGTTAACAAGTTCTAGATGTACGTCTACTTTTGTCTTGTTTTCACATTACTTGATGTTAACCAAAACAATACTCGATTTAAGCTGCTGGCCGCATTCATTGTTTCGTTCGTTGCTGTGATGGCGATAGTCGGAACACACCGACACATTCCCCTTAACTTTGGCACGCCCGGTCTGGTAAACCATCTATCGCACTCAAGCCAATTTTTTCTTGATATAATTGTCCATAATTTCCCGGTGGTTTCGCAATTCAGCGTAAATATCCCTTATATTTTAAAAATTGCACGACGCCTCCTTATAATTTTAAAAATATATGCATAAAACCCCCGCCATGCGAAAAAAATGCGAAAAAAATATAGAATAGAAATCATCTTCTCATCACACAAAAATTGTAAAATAGGTTTTATGCAATATTTTTTAAAGTATAAGGAGGCGTCGTGCAATTTTGAAAGTACAAGCGATTTACGCTGGCTTTCAAAACTATTGGAGAATTATGGACAATTTTGCCATTTTTATTTTTCGCGCACATACATATATAGATATATTTATATATATCGAATCGTATTATGTAGGTTGGGTTGGCGCTTTCTTACGCTTCACCGATTGTATCCATGCTGGGAAGCTTCTTAACGAGCTTCACGGAGACAGAGAAGGAGATGGTTTCGGTCGAGAGGGTTCTTCAGGTAATGACTTAGAAGAATACAAATTAATTAAACAAGTTAAATTCATGCTCCGGAAATTACTTAACCGAAGTCCCGACTAATTTCTGTTGTTTTAGTACACGGACATCCCTCGGGAAAAACTGACAGGAGAATATCCGGTCAATCCGAATTGGCCGTCTAAAGGTGATGTACAATTTCAAAATGTGACTCTACGATATATGCCGTCGTTGCCACCGGCATTGTATGATGTTTCATTTTCGATACCGGGAGGAACTCGGGTAAGCTGTTATTAAAGTACTTGCGCACAAATTCTCGTTTTCCGGGAAATTTCAATGTAATTGACATGGCATTAAATCAGGTCGGAATCGTCGGAAGAACGGGTGCAGGAAAATCGAGTATCTTGAATGTTCTGTTCCGTCTCAACCCGATTAGCGGTGGACGTGTTTTAGTCGACGGCTTGAATATCGCCGGAGTTCCTGTCAGAGATCTTCGGTCGAGCATTGCGATCGTTCCTCAAAGCCCGTTATTGTTTGAAGGATCATTAAGGTAATGATTTTCGAAGATTGCTCGAGAATTTTGTATGTATGAAATGATTAGTTCATATGTATAAGCATTGGCCGAAATTTTCAGGGCGAACTTAGATCCTTTTGGAACAAGCAGCGACGAAAAAATCTGGAACATAATCGAGAAATGCTGTCTGAAAGAGGAAATAGAGACGGTGGGAGGGCTCGACGTTCATGTAAGAGAGTCGGGCGGGATGTTTTCAGTCGGGCAACGGCAACTGCTCTGTCTCGCTCGAGCGCTTCTCAAATCTTCCAAGGTAAGGAAATTAATTGAGTTATCGAAAATTCTTCGACTAATCGAGTGCATATACATATATATATATATATATATGAATATAGGAAAAAGTTACATCATAAATAGACAGACAATACATAGTTTTGATTAACACGGACATATGTTACTGTGTTAGTTGAAACTATGTGCTGATAGTTCTATTTATAGAATGTATTGTACGAACATATTTTATGTGCTAAAATCAGTATTGTGAGTTCATATATTGTATTTGTATTACGTTAATATATGTAGTGAATCAATTAATTCAGTAAAGTAACTGCTGCCGTAAAACTTATATATATATATATACAACAAAATATGAACATTCAGATTTTGTGCTTGGATGAGTGCACTGCAAATGTGGACATTCAGACAGCCTCTAAGCTGCAGACAGCGATTTCGAGCGATTGCGAAATCCGGACAACGGTGACCATTGCGCATCGGATATCGACTGTAATGGTCATGGATGAGATCTTCGTTCTCGATCGAGGGATGCTGGTAAGTTTGTAATTATTTATTTATTTATTTTTTTTTTTTGAGGAATGTTGAGAAAGGATCGTGTAAACGATGGCGATCAAATGGACAACAAGTGGTGTGTTGATTCGGGTATGTTGGGTTTGTTAAATCAGGTTGAACGGGGAAATCCGGAGGCTCTGATGCGCGACGAAACGTCGAGATTCTCGAGTTTTGCTAGAGCATCTGCAATGTGATTCTTGAATCTTAGGTTATTGAGTTGAAATTATTTAGTTATGTAATGAAGATCGATTATAATAGAACTTCTCTTAGATTAGAATCCTAAGTTGGTTTATAATCGAATCAGTTATCAAATATTTTGCCTCATTTACTGTTTTGAAAGTCAATGCTTATATCTTTGGCAGTCACGTTTGAAAAAATTGGTCCTATTTTAGGCGTTGGAAAGAGTTTTTGTGACGTCCACTTATAATGTATATATTTACTGCAGTGTTTAAGAAATAATAGTATTTAATTAGAGTGGATAGTTAAAAATACTGTAATGATATTTTTGCCCTTGTTTTTTTGGTGTAAAAGTAATGATGTGATGTAAAGTAATAGTATTTATGGAAAAAAAAGTAGGGTATTTAATAAAATGTTTACTTTGTAATTGGACGTTCCAAGAGATATGTATACTTTCTAACCGGACGGAGAGAATATTTTTTATAAATAATGAGTACTTTGTACTAAAAAAATTTAAATTTTTTTTTTATAATTTTATAAAAATACAAATTCAAATTACTACACAAACAAAAGCAAGCAAACCAATAATAATTTCAATTAAAGATGCAATGAAGATAAATGTATTGTGTGTATCTATATATATATATATATATATGTTCTATTATATATTCAAATAGGATGACATGTATGAAAATGTTCGAATGTGCAATAGTTTATTTTATACTAAAGTTATAATTGAACAAAAAGCATTATATTTAATATCATTTTTTAGATATATTATTTTTATTATTTATATGAGTTTGCTTAATTTAATAGAAAAATTATTTTATATATATTGAGTTGGTTAAATAATTATATATACATTGATTCATATATTGAAAAATTGATTATTATAATATGTTGAGATAATTTAACTAATTAATCCGAACAATTATTGTTCACTTTGTGTGTATATATATAAATATATATTCCTATTCAATTTTTATTTTTTTTTTATAAAAAAAAAATTAATGTATATTTTTTTATACAAATATTAAATCTAACAATTACTTTATTAAAAAAATAAAATTAGTTAAATTTATACACTTGTCATGATCATGAAAAGGTGTTAAAAGCTCGATAAGAGTAACACGTTCATAGATTCTCCTCATAATCTATTACTACTTCTTTTTCACAAGAATTCTATGACTACATTATTATTATTATTATTATTATTATTATTATTATTATTATTATTATTATTATTATTATTAAAAAAATTCAAATTCGAACCAATTCACATCTTTTGTACATGGTAACAAATTGCTTAAATAATTTTGATATAATATGTATATATATATATATATATTCTACTATATAAACGTCCAATATATAATTTTTTTTCTAAGTGGTTAATCCTTGTCCAATTTTTATCTTTATTTATTTTTTATCTTCTTCTTTACCTAGGGCTAGCAAACATTAACCCGACCTGATAACGCGATCCGAACCTGACCTGAAATAGTTGGGTTTGAGTTGAGATTTTCGACCCAATTAATAATTGAGTCAAACTCGTTTAATCCATTTAATTAAATGGGTCAGGTTAAGATCTACATTTTCGACCTGAAAATAACCCGTCTAACCTATTTAATTAATATTATTTTAAATTTAAATATATTTTTTAAATTTTATCAATACAATTCAATATTTATGGCCAATTTTATAAAAATAAACAATAAAAAATAAAGGATTGTGTTGTGTACTATTACGTAGGTTTGTTAATTCAATTCTTAAATATCGGTTTCATGATATGAATAAATAATTTTTTGCTTTAATATGTATATATAGTATGCATTTAAAATTTTTGTTAGTATAAATTTTAATTTTAAATTTAAATTTTTTAGATTAAACGGGTTATACAAGTTAGATTCAGGTTGACCCGATTAATAAAAGGTCAGGTTAAGGTTGCAAATATCAACCCATTTAATTAAATGGGTCAGATTCAGTCGGCGAGGCCACCACTACAACCACCTCCAGTCGCCCAGTTGGGATTGAGCCAACTTAATACTAGTATGATATTATCCGCTTTAGGCCGAGTCCGCACAGATTTGTTTTTGGATATTCTTCAAAAGGCCTCGTACTAGTGAATTTCACTTGGGACTTATAAGGTGTGTAATTTTCTTCCCACCTTTCAACGTGGGACTTGGATTTGCACCCCAACAATTTAATATTAGTATGATATTATCACTATGATCGAATTCATTTTCTTTTGAACTTTTCAAAAAGAGCATGACTTCTTGTAATTTTTTTAGTGTAAAATTTGAATTTGCATTCCAAAAAAATGAACTGACATTTCACCTTCCATAATTTCAAACCCGTCATTGCACACACACATCGTGTTTGTTTGATTATAATTTAAAATTGATTTAAAACAAAATATTGATTTCAATTTTTGTTTAAATAATATTTTAATATGATATTTTATTGATAGAAAATTAATATTTATTCAAAATAATATACTCCCTCCGTCCCATAACTATGTATCCGTTTGCTTTTTGAACTAAGTTTTAAAAATATTAGTATTATATTGGGATGTAGTAGAAATAAAGTAGAAATGACTAAAATAACTTTATTTGCATTGTGTGATATAAAGTAATAGCATTTGTGTAATATATTGTAAGTTGTAAGGATATTTGTAATGTTATGTATATAGTACAATTACTTAAAAAAATGAAATAAATAATTTTGTTATGGGATAAAATAAAATGGAAAAATAGATACTTTCTTATGGGACGAATGGAGTATTATATAATTAATTTAGTAGGCTATGCGGAAAGGCTAAAAAAAATATAAGTAATTATTAAATTAATTAATAATAATCGAAATTAATTAATGCAAGAGTGGAATATATATATATATATATAATTATATATATGCTTAAGAGTTAAGGGGGACCATAAATAGGTCGATTTCTTAATGACACGTTTAATCATTATTTTCCATGTCTTTCTGCGCATTTATTACAATTCATCAACATGTGTATTTTCATTTTCACACACACACACACATATGTTTGTCTGTGTGAAAATTATTGGCTTACTTACACTACCTTTACTTCCATGTTTAATGAATGGATAGGATCTCATTCCTTTAGATATATTTTTTAAAAAATTTGAGTCATACATATATGTTTTTGAAGTAATTTTAGGAAATAATATATATATATATATATTCTTTAAAATATATCATATCTATGTATGTAAGTTTCATTTAAACAATATGTCAAATACCTTTTCTTTCACTAAAATATTTTCGAATCCAAACACGATGTTTGTTCTTTTGTGATTTCAAATTAAAATTAATATAATTTACTCTACACAGTTTTTAATATAAATATATTTTTTTTTTCACAAAATATCACAAAAAATGCTATTGAAATAAAAACTCAAATCAACACGTCATCTTAAATCAATTTCAAATCACAACCAAATAAATTCACAGTTTAACACTATTTTAAAGTCAATCTACAATCATACAACACAGTCGGATCATTATAGCGAAAAATTAAAGCGTTTATCTTTTAAGATAATTACACGAAAGAGCGCAATAATGTTATCATCATCAATAGTGCGATTGAAAAAGTACAATAAAAATTCCGACAACCCATATTAATTAGGGTTTTCACTATTAGCACCAAACCCTAAAAATTAAGTTTAGGGCATGAAGATATACCGATGCCCTTGTCCTATCGAATAAGCAAGAAAACCCCGCGATGTTGGTAATCTAATTGATTGCATAACAAACTAGTCGACCATTCGATGTTGACATTCGTCCCTACAATTTGTGCATGGGAGAACACCTGTAACTGTATTCATGGGATATGACAATAAATGGAGGGTAGACAAAGCTTGTCTATATTGAGGGACAAGATCCGAGTTTAAGGATATGTCGATAGAACGATTCATGTGGAGGTGTATGCATTTGTAGTCCATCGATCGGATTGATCGTATCGCATGTATCCATCAATGGAAGTGACACGAAAAAAAAAAAAAAAAATTGCAAATTGAGTCGTGCATATATAATCTTGACGATCATTTTTATCATATAAATGATACGTGTTGTGATATTTTAGATATTCAGTTTCAGATTTAGTAGATTTACTTAGATTTGATGTTATCTATAGATTAGTTTATTTAGATTTAAATCTATCGAACATGTTTTATATCGCCTATATAGGCCTCTTATTTTAGTGATCAATACAATGCAATTTTTCAATTTTCTTAAAATATTCTCATAGTACGTATTTTAATCTAATAAATTACCTATTCTTATTTTTTTAAAAAAAGTGCTCACCTTATTGTTATATTGTGAAGCCTCAAGCTCAAGTTTGGAGAAGTACTATACATTCAAATTTTATATCAATCGCCCTCGAAGCAAAAAATAAATAAATAAAGTAGGTATGTCCACTTAATTTAAATTGTGACTCAGTAAAGTTTTACTTTAATGTCTATATATAATTATCGTACTTTTTCTAAAAATTAAAGTCCGATATATATACTAGAAAAATAAATAGTTTGGCCACCCGCAGATCGACGTAGGGTTTTGGGTCACGGCTCACTAAAATTTTTATTTAATGCAACTATATATAAAAATTAACGACTAAACCATAGTAATAAAAATATTGACTTGGTCGACTCAGATTGGCGTAGGTTCACCAAATTGAGTTACCAAATTTCATCTTTTGTGATTATTATTTTGATTTCACTTAATTTTGTTTCACTGAAAACAGTAGGCTAGTTTTTTTTTTTTTTTTTTTTGACAAAAGCGACGTATTGTATGATCAGGACCAAACTGCAATTTGGCGATGGAAGCGATGAATGGTGGCAATTGTCATGAAATGACGGTAATAAAACACTTTGTCATGGGAGTGTTGGACTTGGACCACCTCGATAATTCTCGACGAAGACGATGCATGTATATCTTGTCCTTGTTAATTTATTGCATATTCAAATTAAATCATCCCTCAATTATTCAGTTATATATATGCATCCATTGCTACAATTCATATTTATTTCTATAATCAATCTATGATCATATTTATAACATATTTGAAATAAGTTTTGAGGAATATTTTTGTAAATTTAAACCCAAAACAAAGCATATTTTTTATTGTATATTTGTGGTATGATCTTTGTGAAGTAAAATTTCCTATCTATAGGAATATTTTATTTTAGAATATTTATATAGTTTAGTTCATGTAAAAGTCTTCTTTATAAGAATTCAAAACTTCTACATGATTTATTACCTATATAGGAAAAAATTAAGGTTCATATATACTTTAAAATTTTAGTATTATTCATCAATAATAATTTTTTCAAATATATATTATATTTAAGTATTATTTTTTAAAAATCTCTATATATTATTTTATTTCTTAATCAAATATACAAAGCTTAAATACATTTATAGATAATGAAAAACATATAATAAATGTGATAGTGGTATGTATAAGTTTGAATGGATGATATAAGATCATCTGTCGGCTATTAATTACTCATTTAAATACATATATTTCATTCTTGAAATTTTTTTTAGTGTCACATTTCATTTAATTCAATAAAAACTACATACCATAAATTATTGGTATATACACTACACGCAATGCCCCAAATTTTGGATTAGCATTAAGGTCGACATCAAACACTAAAAATAAAAATAAAAATAAAAATAAAAATAACGCAAAAATAATAATAATACTTCCTTCGTCTCATTTGAAAGCGGTTTTTTTGTTCAAGAGGTTTTGATATTTGTATCATTTGACTTTATATATAAAATAATTATATATATAATAGTATGTATGTAATTTAAATAAAAATTAAAGGTGTTTTGTTATTAATACTTCCATTCGTCCCTTAACAATCTATTCAATTTTTTTCATTTTAGTCTGTCTCATAACAAAGTATCCATTTCATTTTTTAGTAACTGTACTCTCTACATAACATTACAAATATCCTTCCAATTTATAATATACTACACAAATAACATTACATTTATATCATACAATACTAATACTAATAAGGTTAGTTTAATCTTTTTACCTTTGTTTTTACTATATCTCAATATAATATTAATATTTCTAAAAACTCCGTGTAAAAAAAAATTGATAGATAGATATGGGACGGAGAGAGTATATGATTACTTTTAGAAATAAGAAAATTGATATTTTGAATGAAACAGACGAAAAATGGTAAGGAGAATAATTTTAAATTAGAATAAAGAGAGTAAAGACAGCAACATAGGCTAAACCAACATATATCTACCAAGATTTGAAATTAGATAACAACTTTAACATTTAACCTACACATTCCAAATATACATACCAAAAACTCAAGAAAAAAAAAATATATCGAAAACCGACGTCGAGGTTCGGGCTGGATCATAGGTCGCGAGGGTCGACAAATATCACCGACGAGGGCGACGCGGTCGTCGACTTGCACCAATCCTCCCGACTCGCGGCATTGCCCTCGTCGCCGAGCTTTTTTATACACCAAACGTCTTCGTCCCACGAGAACTTCTTCCAATGTGGGATCGATCTTCTCACCGGATCCGCTTGTCCTACTTCGGCCACCACAACCCTCGAATCACCGTCCTTCCTAGCCATATTGTACACAAATTTACACAACGTCGTCATCATCCGAGGCCCGTCATCGCCCTCCATATGTAGCCCGTGCATAAAATGAAACCCGAAATCCCTAAAAACATTCGGGACCGAAGGGATCTTGAGCCACGGGATCATCGCATCAACGACCCTCGTCCCAAAACACACAGCGTGTGTTAGCCTCGACACGCCCTTTACGCGTAGTCTATAAACTTCTTTCGCGTTCCAAACGCTTAAAATTGCGAAGGAATGTGGAAAATCGAAGTTTTCAGAATTAGGGTTCCATTCAGAGAGAAATTTTTTTGGTAAAGCCATGAAGGTGCCTAAGTTGAGCTTATTGGTTAATAATTGATTTATGTCTTTAGGGAAAAATTCCGAGAAGGAGAATGCGCGACGGTAGAGATGCTCGGCTTGTGATGTGGGCACGCGAACTATGGCTATATCCGATGGTAGAGGCTTCGCGTGGCGATGTACAGGTTGAACGAGGACCATCGGATTTCGAAACTTGACATAGTTGCATTTTTTTGTGAACAAATTTAGCGACGGATGGTTGCTACATTCCGTTGCCATATATGCATATTCGGCGCCATTTTTTTTGCACCAATTTTCCAACTCTTCGACGAGTTTTGTAGCTATTCCGAGCCTCCTACAAAATTAATTTTCAATTTTTAAGATTAAATTGTTTATATGTGTGTGTAACGTTTCGAAGATAGACTTTGTTTTTTTTTTTTTTTTTTCAAATTAAAATAAATATTATTTATGTTGCATAACTTTTCAATAAAAAAATAGATAATTTCATTTAACAAAATATAACATTAAATTTTTATTTAAACAAAAATTCAAATTAATACCGTATTTCAGATTAATTTCAAACAAGAATCAAACAAATTCTTAATAGTTAGTCGAAAAATTTTTAATAGATAATAAAAAATTGTATAGGTAATATAAAAATGATAAATGTATGTAATATATTAGTAATCTTTTTTAGAAACATGAGTCTTATTTTGGCAATTTACTTGTTTATATTACATTAGTTTTATTCGAAATATTACATCAACTGCTTGTTTATATCTCATTAATTATTTATATTTTATTATTTAATTTTTTTATATTTAAACGTAGCCTTAGTTATGATCAAATATAAGTATAGGATCAAAATCCAATGGAAAAACATACTCCCTTTTTAATTTTTTTTTTTTTTTTTACTATTATTTTTTATTTAAAATTTTTATTATTTTATACTTGGTTTTCCTCTTTTATATTTCTAAATACAAATCATAAACTCATTCAAAACAAAAATAATGAAAAAATAGTTTTCAAAAACAAAAAATTATATCATATTTAAAAAAAAAAAAAAAAAATGGGGCCAAAATGTAAATATAGTAGTATGAAATTGGAATATTATATTTATAAAAGTAACACTCGATCCTAACTATAAGAATAAATAGTAAATTTTGTATGATTATTCCCTATGGAATTTGTTCTGATGAATGGAATTTCTTTATCATCTATTTATTTATTTATATTTTTAGTGGATTCAAATATAATAAATAAATTCTTGAATAGATGCACCACATGTACAAAGAACAAATAATAAATATATATTTTTTAATAAAAAACAATAATAATAATAATAATAATAATAATAAAATAGTACTTTCTTGGGGGACAAGTTGCATCATGTTGAAAGTATTGTCTAGGAAAATAACTTTGGATATTTTCTTTTGGACACATCCACTAAAAAATATATTTATAAATTATAAAATATAAAATAAAATAAAATGAAATATGGATATAAATCTATAAACAATATCTAAGCATGGGAAAGTGAAATGTGTCTAAATAAACTGATATTAGATGTCTTTTCTATTTAAAAATATATTTTATAATAAATTATATACATAGTCTAAAAATTAAAATAAAAATACAAGTGAAAAAAACTCCCATATTTTTATATAATAATTTCAGTCATTTATTTAAATCTTATTTAAAATATGATTGTCACGTACGCAGATATGACATCTTAAAAATCGACGACGTCAATCCCGTCGTATCGATTCGGAGATGTGACTTTTGCACATGTACTGATCACATACAATTTTTTTATATATATATAAAATTTCAATATATTATATATATATACACATAGAATTTTGTGGTTAATTATTATAAATTTTTCTTAAATAGTAAAATGCATGTTGTGAAATGTAATTAATAAAATAAAATAAAATTAAAATATACCTGTGTGTGGATGAAACCCTAAGGCCAAGAATATAAGCCAAGTTGACATGCACAGGCAATTGAGTGCTGCTAATTAATTTCCCATTTGTTACTGTCTTTATACACCCCCTTATTACTCCCACTATTTCTCTTCCTTGTCCGTACTCTGCTACCTATACATACATATATATATATATATACACATATATTAAATAAATAAATAATTTTAAATTTTTGAATTATTTAGAGAAATAGTAAAATATGAAGGTTTGATGTGATAATTTATGAAAAATATATATATATAATACAATATTTTAAATATATACTACCACTATTAGGCTCTAAGAGTCTCATTTACTTTTTACATGTTGATCTTTGAATATTAATTAATACATTAAAACGTAGTACAAATTAAGAAAACATTGAAAAAATACTTCAATTAATATTTTATAATACTAATAAAAAATATATTTATACAGAAATATAAAAGGCAAATGTGACTCTTAGGAGTTGACTGATGGAGCATATTGTTATAGATAAATAGTACTAAAATTAATTTTTAAAGTATTTTTCCTATTCCATTTTGATCTATACAATTCCGACGTGCATGGCCATCGAATTTTAATTTCTACATTAAAATAATTATTGAATATGATATTGAAAATTCCAGCGCACGGGCACGTGCATGAATCTATCTATCTTTACTATTAGCATGAATATGTAAAAATAAATAAAAACTCGATATAATTATAAATGTGAGATTCGATAATAAAAAAATTTCAATTTACCAGCATCGTATGCGACACGAAATTCCGGACTCGAGCGATAGGGTCGCCCTTAAGATCGGTAACGAGCGAGGGCTTTCCCGGTTGCCCGATTTCGCACCGCCGCTCAAGCTCGACGACGGCGGCTTTGTCTCTCGTCTCGCAATACTCTCGAACTATCACCGCCACCGGAGCCGCCTCCTCGACAGCGGCGATTTTTTTTAAAATCATAATATTTTTTCTTAAGTGGAGAGAATGTGAAAGGAAAAATTGTATTGTTTTGGAAAGCCAAGAATGTCGTATGTGTTATGTATTTAGGCTTTTCCAAATATATGCTCATAAACTTTCCAAATCCACACAAACATTATTTATAGTAACTTTGGGGGTTGCTGACGTGGCACCCCTCTAATGTAATAACAAGGACATGAGTGGTCCTATCACTTAATTAACAATCCATATTCTTCCACCACACATATGTTAATTTAATTTAAATAAATATATGTATATATGGCTTACAAAATCTTTGCTGATCTGGTTAAATCAGTACAACAGTGATTTGATCAGATTAATATATGTTATACACATAATTAATATATAGTATAATATATGTTGAATTATGATATAATATATATTAAATTATGATACTTATTTATTTGTTTTTTTCACGTAATTTTAGAAATATTAGTATTATATTGGGATATAGTAGGAATAAAGTAGAAATGACTAAAATAATCTTATTAGTATGTGTGATATAAAGGTAATGACATTTCTGTAATATATTATAAGTTGTAAGGGTATTTGTAATGTTAGATAGATAGTACAGTTACTAAAAAAAAAGGAAATGAATACTTTGTTATGGGACGGACTAAAATGAAAAAATGAATACTTTATTATTAGACGGAGGAAGTATAATATATTCTGAAACATGTATAAATATATGCCGATCCAGACACGCATATATGGGTGTGATTATTTAAATAATTGAACATCCTAGAAATCCCACTTTTAAAAAATATATTATATAATAATTAATAAAATAAAACTGTTCATAGAGCCAATAAAATGGGGCTAAGGTGGTCCAATTATTGTGACTCGTGTAGTGATTATTACCCAAATCAGATCTTTTTTTTATTATTATTATTTTTATATTCAGCCAACAAAAGGAGATGAATTAAATTAAATTATATGTAAGTGTATGGTTAAATTAAATAAAATAGTTTGGGTTCGTTCGTGCTTTTAATTTCTTGAAATTTAAAATTGGATAACTATGATCAATCTGATTTGTAAAAGATATATAATAATAGGGAATGAATATTGACTAGACAGTGTTAAGTTCCAATAATTGGTAGAGAATCTATATATATAATTATTTTTATTTTTATGTGTTATTATTATTATTATTCTTATTATTATTATTATTATTATTATTATTATTATTATTACAGCATTTGTCATGGAGTGTTTTTATGGCAGTGGCGGCGAATATGGAACCTCTTTGTAATATTTTTTACTTCCCATATAATGTTGCTTTTTAGGTTTGTGTATATATATATACAAATATATATATATAGTGGTTTTTTTTTTTTCTTTTTTTTAGGGATGGATTTTGAAAGTAAAATTTTAAATAATTGATTGATATAATATTTTGAATGTAGAATTAATGTTTTAATATAATATAAAAATATTTTAAATATGATTTTTAGGAGAAAATATTTTATGAATTGTAAAAATCTACAAATAAACAAAGTTTTATTTGTATTTTTGGTTTAAATACTAATTACATGTAATATTTTACGAAAAATATATATATATATATTTTCTGTTTACTAATAAATTTTTTATTTAATTTTTGTTTGTGAATTAAGATAAATTAGTAGTTTACAGATATATAGTATAAGAAATTAATATAATGTTCATTTTATTCTTGAAAAGTAATGTAAAAAATAAAAAATAAAAATATTTGGTATTTAGTTGATAGTTATTTTTTTAAAAAAAAATAGAAATAAAATGAATGTAGAGAATATAAAAATAATGAATGTATGTACTATATTAATATTTTTTAAAAAATGGATGTATATTTTTGTTGAAAGAACATAGTTTTATTAGTATTATATTTTTATAGTAGTTTATATGTATTTTGTGTATGTAAAAGTTACTATTTTTTATTTATAATATAATTTAATATAATAATATTAATATAAATAAACATAAATTTGGGGACATTTATAATATGTAGGAGGATCACACTTAATAAAAAATAAAATATATATTTTATGTTTGGACAAATAAAAATAACAAAATGTATACTTTAACATTAGACGGAAGAAGTAATAAATAATTTTGAGATAAAAATTTTTTTAGTTCCGTATGTTACATTCATTATCATCCTCTTTTAAATAAAATTGTATAGAAATACTTATATATCTGATGTGTATTTATTGAAAATATCCTTTAGTACTAGAATATTGTCACGTATGTTAGCATAACCACTTTCAAAATAAATATTTATTGATTTAATTTTGTATATTTATTAAAAAAATATATTTGCATATTTATTTGAAAATTAACATTACAAAGTTTTACTATTAGAAATTATTACATGACTAGTTTATATCCGCTTCAGAGATACCATACCAACCTATTTTAGTACTAGAAAATCTTTTCAGTAACTATTACCACTTTCGTCATTTAATTATGTTCTCATTCTCTTTGTAAATTAAAAAAATAATAATAATAAAAAATGGGAACATAATTGGATGATGGATAGAGTATATATAAAACTATTTCGACACGCATTTTTACTTAATAGAACTAAATAATAATAATATATCTTCCGGTCCTTCAAATTTACTTTTTTCTGTTTTTTGTTAAATTTACTCATTATTAATTTTGGCAAAATTGAATAATCAATATTTAACTATTATCTTCAATTCAACACTTATTTACCATAATTATCATTATTCTTATTATATTCTCTATTCTCATTTCATTTCATTTAATTACTAATTAAATTTTTAAAAAAAATACTTTTAACTACTTTTTTTTTCTAATAAAATATTCATTTTTCTTAATTTCCGCGCCAACTTCAAATATACTCTCTCCGTCCCACATACTATATCCATGTTGTCGTTTATGTCCGCCCCACATACCATGTCACTTTCATTTTTTTTTTTGAAAATGATGACACACTTTAATCTCATTTTAAACTTTTTAATTTTATTTTTTAAAAAAATTTAATTAAACTAATTAGTTATCTTAATCTTAATTTATAATTATTTAAATTATCGGATAATTATTTTCACTAATACAACCCCTCCTAAAATACAGTGTCTACGGTATAGCAGACACTGTATGTGAGACGGAGGTAGTATTAATTTTTCATATAGGGGAGTAATAATAGGTGCCATGAGATTAAAAATAATATATCCCATAATTTGAAGATTTCAATAATACTCATTTCGTCCCACTTTTTATGTCCACTTTTCCATTTGCGTCCGTCCCACTTATTTTGTCACTTTTCTTTTTTTTGGAAAATAATTATAAACATTAATAATATTTTTAAAAATTTAATTTATAATTTTTTTAAATTTTAATTATACTAATCAATTATCTTAACCTTAATCTTAATCTATAATTATTTTTATTATACGATAATTATTTTCACTAATAGATTTTTAGTTATTTACTAATTATACCCCTCATAAATTCTCGTGTGTACAGTAACGCGGACAAAATATCCGGGACGGAGGGAGTAATATTTATTTAAATTACACTAAAGTTGGACCACACTTTGGGTTTGATCAAATTCACCAAGTGGAACTTTTAAGTGAAAATGATCTCATCTCATCTCATCTCACACACAATTATGGAAGCATAAAGTGGATTTGGACATTGTTCATTGTAAGATATGATGATACATTATTTATTTATTTATTCACAATCTCAAAGTCTATATTATATTTAGATTTGTTTCTAAATTATTCTTAGTATAATATATTTCGAGAATAGTATCGAGCCCGAGCCCGAATTGGTGTATAAAAAAATGGCCAACTCCAAAAGCCGCTTTTTCTTTGTCGTCTTCTTCTCCTTCTGATGGCTTCGCCCCTTTCAAGATTTGGTACTATTGTCCGAAAACGATAGGTAGATATGTACTTAGGGTTTGTTTGTTCGGGGGATTAGGGTTTGTTTGTTCGGGGGATTGGATTTTCACTATACTATTCATCTCTTTTTTTTTTTCTTTTTTTTTTTGAAAAAATATCAAATTTTAAATATCTATTTATTATTTTTTTATACTCTCTCTGTCCAAAAATATTTGTCTTGTTTTTTCATTTTTGTTCGTCTCAAAACAATAGTCTTGTTTCCTTATTTAGTAGCCGTGGTCCCCACTTTATAACAAAATTATTTTTACTTTTCCATACTACCCCTAATCATTACTCTAACGTACTCTTTAAAATCCTTATAAAAGTAAGGGCATTTTAATCATTTACATTCTATTTTATACCCACTTTTAATTAAATACTATTATTCCTTAATTCTCGTGTCAACTCTCAATAAGACACTTCTTTTGGGACGGAGGGAGTATTATGCTTCCTCTCTCTCAGAACTATAGTCTTAATTGGGTTGAACATGAGACTTAAAGGAATATTGATATTATATTGGCAGTTGGTAAAAAGTACAGATAAAAGACTTTTTTGCTCTTATGAGTGTATTAGTGTAAAGAGTAATGGCAATTATGTAATAAAAATAGAAAAGTATGGGTAATTTTATAATGATATAGTTATTTATGGAAATAAAACTATTGTTTTATGACATACAGAAATGGTAAACAAGACTATTGTATTAGGACGGAGAGAGTACTAAATATCAATTTTACTTTCAAAACATCACATGAACACCTATTTATATCACATCATACCACTATTCAAATTCAAAATTTTTACTATTCAAATTCTAACTCAAAATCCAAACCTCCAAACAGACACACCCTTACAAAATTTTAGGCGCTATGATTATATATATATATATATATATAATTTGATGAGATCATGCGCCGAAGAATTTCTTTTTATATATGTATAACGAGGAATGTCTTTTTTTTTTTTTTTTTTTTATTGAATGGAGTGTAGTCGTCGCAAATAATTTGTAGAGTAATTGTTTTTTTAATCAGATCATTTTTATGATTTATTATAAAATTATATTATATTTTTTTTAAATATTGTTTAAATATAAATAGAAATTCAAACCAAATACATCTTGCAGTACCTGTAAATATAAAATATTCCTTCCATCCATTTTCTAATATCTTATAAGTGATATTTACAAAT